ACGCAGGGGTGAGGAGCGGTCTGTCTGCATGCGGGGGTGAGGAGCGGTCTGCACGCAGGGGTGAGGAGTGGTCTGTCTGCACGCAGGGGTGAGGAGCGGTCTGCACGCAGGGGTGAGGAGCAGTCTGCACGCAGGGGTGAGGAGTGGTCTGTCTGCACGCAGGGGTGAGGAGCGGTCTGTCTGCACGCGGGAGTGAGGAGCGGTCTGCACGCAGGGGTGAGGAGCGGTCTGCACGCAGGGGTGAGGAGCGGTCTGCACGCAGGGGTGAGGAGTGGTCTGTCTGCACGCAGGGGTGAGGAGCAGTCTGTCTGCATGCGGGGGTGAGGAGCGGTCTGCACGCAGGGGTGAGGAGCGGTCTGCACGCAGGGGTGAGGAGCAGTCTGCACACAGGGGTGAGGAGCGGTCTGTCTGCATGCGGGGGTGAGGAGTGGTCTGTCTGCACGCAGGGGTGAGGAGCGGTCTGTCTGCACGCGGGGGTGAGGAGCGGTCTGTCTGCATGCGGGGGTGAGGAGTGGTCTGTCTGCACGCAGGGGTGAGGAGTGGTCTGTCTGCACGCGGGGGTGAGGAGCGGTCTGCACGCAGGGGTGAGGAGCGGTCTGCGTAGGAGCTCTCAGCAGCAAGCGCAGGCTCCTTCATTCTTCCTCTGCACAAACCCCAGGCCAGAGGCAAGGAGGCCCCTGGTTTTAGGACCCCGCTCCCTCTCTTGTTCAGTCTTCTTGAGCTCCCTTTCACAGGGCCATGCTTCCTCACCTCTCCTCTTAACCTTGCAATGTTCTCTTTGAATACTAAGTCCAAATGTTTACATGTTCACATACGTGCGATGACCTCTTTGCACAACTCAGTTGGTCCCATACAGGTGATTTTTCCAGCCTGGTTTGGTGACTTGCAGCTCTGCTAGGTAAACCTTGTGACTGCAGAGGCAGACTGCCGGAGTTTGAATGAACAGCCTTTCGGTTTTAATCACTGAAACATCCTCACATTTGCCCATGCGCTCTGGTACTGGAGGCCCGTCACCGCGTCCCCAGGGAAAAGCCAGCAGCCACCTCCCAACTTTCATTCTCTGGGTCTTGTTCCAACACCAAAGACAGCATGGACGTCTGGAGGGAAACCAGGCTAATGGGGCTGGACTGGAAGGCCTCCCAGACTCCCCACACCCCGTGTCCCTGTCACCCCACACCCCGTGTCCCTGATGTCACCCCACACACCGTGTCCCTGATGTCACCCCACACACCGTGTCCCTGATGTCACCCCACACACCCCGTGTCCCTGATGTCACCCCACACACCCCGTGTCCCTGATGTCACCCCACACCCCGTGTCCCTGTCACCCCAGACACCGTGTCCCTGTCACCCCACACACCATGTCCCTGTCACCCCACACACCGTGTCCCTGTCACCCCACACACCGTGTCCCTGTCACCCCACACCCCTTGTCCCTGTCACCCCACACACCCCATGTCCCTGTCACCCCACACGCCCCGTGTCCCTGATGTCACCCCACACACCCCGTGTCCCTGATGTCACCCCACACACCCCGTGTCCCTGATGTCACCCCACACCCCGTGTCCCTGTCACCCCACACACCCCGTGTCCCTGTCACCCCACACACCGTGTCCCTGATGCCACCCCACACACCCCGTGTCCCTGATGTCACCCCACACACCCCGTGTCCCTGATGTCACCCCACACACCCCGTGTCCCTGATGTCACCCCACACACCGTGTCCCTGTCACCCCACACACCCCGTGTCCCTGATGTCACCCCACACACCCCGTGTCCCTGATGTCACCCCACACCCCGTGTCCCTGTCACCCCACACCCCGTGTCCCTGATGTCACCCCACACACCCCGTGTCCCTGATGTCACCCACACACCGTGTCCCTGTCACCCCACACACCCCGTGTCCCTGTCACCCCACACACCCCGTGTCCCTGTCACCCCACACACCGTGTCCCTGATGCCACCCCACACACCCCGTGTCCCTGATGTCACCCCACACACCCCGTGTCCCTGATGTCACCCCACACACCCCGTGTCCCTGATGTCACCCCACACACCGTGTCCCTGTCACCCCACACACCCCGTGTCCCTGATGTCACCCCACACACCCCGTGTCCCTGATGTCACCCCACACCCCGTGTCCCTGTCACCCCACACCCCGTGTCCCTGATGTCACCCCACACACCGTGTCCCTGATGTCACCCCACACACCGTGTCCCTGTCACCCCACACACCGTGTCCCTGTCACCCCACACACACCGTGTCCCTGTCACCCCACACACCGTGTCCCTGTCATCCCACACACACCGTGTCCCTGTCACCCCACACACCCCGTGTCCCTGTCACCCCACACACCCCGTGTCCCTGATGTCACCCAACACACCGTGTCCCTGATGTCACCCCACACACCGTGTCCCTGTCACCCCACACACCATGTCCCTGATGTCACCCCACACCCCGTGTCCCTGATGCCACCCCACACCCCGTGTCCCTGTCACCCCACACCCCGTGTCCCTGATGTCACCCCACACCCCGTGTCCCTGTCACCCCACACACACCGTGTCCCTGATGTCACCCCACACCCCGTGTCCCTGTCACCCCACACACACCGTGTCCCTGTCACCCCATACACCCCGTGTCCCTGTCACCCCACACACCGTGTCCCTGTCACCCCACACACACCATGTCCCTGTCACCCCACACACCGTGTCCCTGTCACCCCACACACCGTGTCCCTGATGTCACCCCACACCCCGTGTCCCTGTCACCCCACACACCCCGTGTCCCTGATGTCACCACACACACCCCGTGTCCCTGTCACCCCACACACCCCGTGTCCCTGTCACCCCACAGTCCCGTGTCCCCGATGCCCCCGTTCTTTGGCGCAGGCGCTTTCTGAAGACACCCTTGCCTGCCAGGTTGTTGTCCTGCAGAGAGCCCTCCTTCCCAGGATCCCAAGGAGGAGCCATGCCCCCCTCCCTCGGTGTTTTGAAGGCTCAGGCAGGCTCTGGGCTGGGCTTCAGTAATCCCAGCATAGCGCTGGGGCCCAGATGCCTGTGTGTGCGTGTTACAGCAAGGGCCAGGTTAGGGGAAGGACGCGTGCGGCCAAGTCCTGAGGGCACGGAGACTTCCATTTCTCAGCAAGCCTGGCAGCTGCACCAGCAAGGAAGACAAAAGAGGATTGAAAGAGGCTGGTGGAGGGCGGGGGGGGGGGGGCAACACTGGCCCTGTCATCTGCAAGGGCACAGGCCAGAGCCGCCCACCGGCCCCCCTAGCCACGCTCCCTGCAGAGGCGGCCCAGCCTGCGCCCGCCTGTCGGATCGGCCACCCACTCTGAAGCCAGGGGGACTTTCCCGGCCGGCCCTCCAGGCCAAGACCTGGGGTATTTCCACCATTTCCTCAGAGGGCCCCCAGAGTACAGCAAGGGAGGTCAGGGCCGCCACCCCCGCCCCCCAGGTCAGGCCCGAGGGAAGCAGGTGGCTGCTGATGTCTGGGTCACTTGAGTGGAAGCTTGGAGCAAGGTGGGACCGAGACTGACCCCAGTGAACCATGGTGGGGAGAGGGGCCGAGGAAGGGGCAGGTACCACCTGCCCTCCCCCACGGAAAGGGGCTGCAGTCACACACACACCCTGACAGGACACCAGCACTGACAGGGCCTCGAGCACAGGCCCAGTGACCCTGGCGTTGAGCCGGTGTGTGGAGGGGCCTCCGTGACTGAACGGAGCTCAGCAAGTCAGTCCTGGCTGTGAACGTCCACAGCCTGGTCACAGTTAGTTCCAGAGACAACGTGTGCCCTCCATGAGCTTGCAGGGAGGTGCTGCTGTGCTGTCCTCCTGCTCTTGTCTGGACCACGCATGCAAGACGCCCTGCCTGGCACCAACAGAGCCCAGGGTGGGGCAGCCTGGCCAGCCTGCTCCTGTCCGGAGCCACGGCTGCCTCCACCTCCTGCCAGCCTCTCAGCCTCCTGAAGAGGACCCCTTCCTGACCTCTCCCAAGCTGGGCTGCCCCCTGGGTCCCCAGGAGTCTGTGTGAAGGAAGTCCCCACGCTCTGCTCTCCCGGCTTTGGGGGCAGGCAGTTCCTGGACTCTTGGAGTAGCCGACTGTGTGGTCACCGTCCCAGAGCCGGAGGGGAACGAAGCAGAGCCCTACCGCCTGCAGCCTGGAGCTCAGGCTCACCTGGCTGGGCACTGCTAGCCGGCGTCTGTCTCTCCCAGTGGAGAAGAGAGATGATGGAGGTCTGCAGACTAAGACTGCAGCTGGTGAAGTGAGCTGACCCCCAGCGCCTCTCCAGCAGCCTCGGAGGGTGCTCAAGAAAACCTATCTGCAAGGAACTTTCCCCAGATTATCTAAAGAAACGAATCTCAACTGTTCTAGCACCGCCAGGGGTGATGACGAGAGACCTGCTTGTGTTTCTTTGAATTGAAATGACAGCCAGAGAGAGAAGGGAGATAAAGGAATGGGAGCCACTGACAAGGCCCAGGCCTCAGCCGTGCGGGGGCAGGGCAGGCCCAGGGCAGCCGGGAAACACCTGTGGAGTGGCGGTGGACCTCGGGGAGGACGTGGCTCTCCCACGCGTCCTGGCACGAGGTGCCCTGCCAGCCGCTCCCTGCCGAGGGAGCCTCGCTCCGCAGAGCCGCACCGCTCCTGGGGACCCAGGGGGCAGCCCAGCTTGGGAGAGGTCAGGAAGGGGTCCCCATGGACTGAGGGGCTCCGTTCCTGGGCCCACTCCCTGTCTTGGGCTCCAGTCTCAGGGACAAGAAGCCAGAGGCTGGCTTCTATCTGTCCCCGGGGCAGAGGCCTGGCCTTCCCGGCTGCAGACAGTCCTGAGCCACTTCTCCCACAAGGCCCTGACCAACCGGGATTCAGGTGGTTTCTGCCCCCTGTCCACACAGCCCAGAACCGCTGCCCGCGAGGCCAGCGGCCGGGAGGCCGAGGAGAGAGGCTGGGTTAGGCAGGGGCGGGCGGCGGAGAGGGGGACACGGGGAGGGCACAGAGGGGCCTATGCCCAGAGGTGGCTCGGGCTGGGACGTGCGCCCCGGGAGCCCCGCCTCAAACCCGGGCCTCGGGAGGGGAACCCCGGGGCCGGGAGCGCAGCCCCTGAGGCGTCAGGGCGGGGGTGTCCTCTCCGGGGTCCGGCACGCCCCCCGCAGGCGCCCCGCGCCCCCCGCGCCCCGGCCGGGGCGGAGGGAAAGTTGGCAGGCGCCGGGCGCCCGCGGGGGGCAGCGTTCATGGGCGGCCGGGCGGGAGCCGCGCGCGCCCGCCCACGTCACGCCGGTGCGGGCTCGGCGGACGGCCGCGGCGCCCGGGGACGCCGGCGCGCTCCGCTCGCCAGGTGCTGGCTGGCGATGGCGCGGGTGGCGGGCGCGGGCTCGGCGCCGGGGCGCGGGCGGCCTGCGGGGGCCCGGCGCCACCGCGGGTAGGCGAGGTCCCCGCGCCCGCGCCCGCGCCGCCCCGGGGCTCCGAGACCCCTCCCCCCGCCAGGAGGCGGAGGCTCGGCCGGCGGCGGCGGCGGCGGCGGCGGCGGCGACTCCCCGGCGCGTCCCGGGCTGCGCGCGGCTCCCGCCCCGTGCGGCCCCGCAGCCCAGGCGCGCGCCGGCTCTGCGCCGAGCAGGTAGGGGACCGGCTCCGCCGCGCCAACTTCGCGGCGGTCGCTCCGGCGCCGGAGGGACCAAAGTTTGCCGCTCGCCCCCGGGGTCTCCGGAGGCCCCCGCGGCCGAGCGCCGCAAGTTCTGGAACGCGGGATCGGGGCGATCGTCTGTCGGGAGCGGGCGTCGGGGCGCGGGGCACCGGCTGGGGGGGGGGGGAGACGGCCCGAGCTCTGGAGCCCCGGCCGCGCTCATCCGGGCCCCCGGCAGCCCCGCGCCCGCCGGCGGTGGGGAGGGAGCGGGAGAGCCGCGGGAACGGGCCGGGCGGAGGGCGGGCGAGCCGGGGCGCCCGCCCGACGCCCGCGTCACCGGGCCGCCCCTCCCTGACCCCCGCTGGGCTGGACGCCCGGGGCCGGAGTCCAGCGAGGGGTCAGCCCGGCCCCAGCGCGGGCGGGTGGGAGGTCGGGGTCAGGCCTGCAGCCCCTAGGCCTCGACCCCTGCCACCCTCCACAGCCCGCCCCGAACCCGGACAGAACGGGGCCGGTCCGTGGGCCCCGCGCCGCGCCGGACAGGCGTCGGGATCACCGCCCGTTCGTGTCGGAGGCCCCGGGGCAGCGGGCAGCGCGCGAGCAAAGTTATCGGGCGGCGGAGGCCTGGGGCTGCGAGAGCGCCGTCTGCGCGCGGAGGGCGGCCAGGCCCTGGGCTCGAGGACTGGGCTTCGGGGAAGGGCGCTTCGGGCTCCTGGGGCTGCTCGGGGAGCCGCGGGGCCGGGCGGCCCAGAGCCGACAGGCCGGCCTCGGCGCCCAGCGCCTCCCCGCAGGACGCCGTCCCGCGTGGGTGCTGACCGGTGTCCGGCCGGCCCGAGGGCGCTGGGTGCACGGTCCCTGCCAGGCCCCGGGCGAGGCCTACCCGGCCAGGTCCCTCCCAGCCGCGGCCCGCAGCCCGGGGGGAGCGGGGAGCCTTCCCTACTGGGGAGTAGATCTTACAGTGAGCCAGATTTCTAGGCCAAGGGGAACAGAGTCGCTCCGGCTGTGAGGGAGGCTGGGTCAGGACACCAGGAAGGGCACCCCCGGGCCAGGCCGCCCTCCCGGGGGAAGGGCACCCCCGGGCCAGGCCAGGCAGGGTTGATCCACCTGCCTGGCAGATGCAGGGCAGCCAGGACCCTGAGCCCGCGGCCAGTCTCCCCGGGGTGCTTGCACGTAGGCCAGGCCTGGCTTTCCCTCCCGGGCTAGCCCCCCCCAACCTGGTCCCGGAGCGAGCCCCAGAGAAAAGCCAAGTCACTGCCCCCGGGCGGCCCGGGGCCCTCCCCGCAGCCCCGGTTTATTACCCGGCGAGCACAGGTTGTTTGTAAACACTAAATAATGGAAGTAGGCGGAGGTGCAACCAAAGCGGCCGCAAACGCGGAGCCGCAGGGGCGGCGGGCGCGCGGCGGGGAGGGAGGAGCGAGGGGGAAGCGGGGCGGATTCATTTCCACCCCGGAGGGCCCGTGGCCAGCTTCTTATTACTTACAGGAAGGTAGTATTAGCAATTCAGGTGAAAAAGAAAGACACGGGGCCGGCCGTGGAATCAATACAGAATGCACCAACGGTTATTAATGTCACCGGACGGTGTTCTGCGCGCGTCTCCGCGGCTGCCGACGCCAAACTGTCTGAACCATTTGCATGGGCGGCCATTCATTATTCCCGATGGTCTCCCTCCGCGCGGCCCGCACGCGCCGGCCGCGGCCCGCGCCCTCGGAGCACTCGCGTCTCCATCTGTAAATTAAAGCAATTACGCAGCAGATCGGATGCGATGTGCGCGGCGGTCTCCGGATGGTCATCAATCACCTTCAACCGAGCTGTCCGCGCCCGCGGATCCCGCGTCCGGGAGGCCTCCTCGCCGCCGGGGAGAGCGCGGGAACGCCGTCATTAATGAGAGGGCCACCCCGGGGCGCGGCGCAGGTCTGCACCCGGGAATCTCCCGAGCAAGCCTGCGCGGCGCCGCGGCGCACGGCCCCGCTCCGGCCGATCGCGGGCAGCCGGGCGGGGCGAGCTCCATGCGCCCGGGACCCCCGGCCGGAGGGGGCGCCCGGCGCGCCCCGCGCGGGAAGCTGGGTCAAGCGGGCCGGGGGGGGGGGGGTCGCCCCGGCTCGGCGCCCAGCGCTGCCTCCCTCGGCCCTCCCCGCGGTGCTGTGTGCGGGGAGAACCTCCTGCGGGAGGGGCCGGGGCCCGCGGCAGAGCGGACACCGCGCGCCCCGCGCTGCGGACAGGGCCGCGGGGGGCGGGGAGAGGGCACTGAGAGGGGAGGGGGGAGGGAGAGGAAAGGGGAGGGAGGCGAACCGACGGCGGGGGGGGGGGGTCGGGCAGAAGCGCAAATGACCCCGAGTGGAAAAGGGAGGGGCTTTCTCCTGGGACCGGCGGGGGACCCACGCACCTGAGCGCAGGCCGACCTCCCGCTCCAGCCCTCGACCCCCCGCGGCCTCCGTGGGTCCCGAGGCCGCGGTCGGTCCCGGCGGGCGCCGCGCGGGGCGCCGGCTAATCTTAACCGTTGATTACACCTCGGGGGCGGCGCGCGGGGTCCCCTCCTCGATCTCATTTGTAATTGAGACTAATGGTTGCGGCGGGGTGCGAAGGCGCAGCTGCTCGTTAATTAATTTCTAATTAAAAGCGCCTTCCGCGCGCCGTGGCTGAGGACGCCGTGCGTCGGGCGGCGCCGCCTCGGATGCGGCCGGTCCCAGGCCCCGCGCGCGGCGCGCCCCCGCCAGCGCCCCCGCCGCCCCGGCTGGGCCACGCGAGTCGCTTTGTGCGTGTTTCCCCCCTTTTTTCTTTCTTTTCAAAACATGCGTTTGCGCCGCCGCTCGGAGGCCGCCCGGTGCCGGCGCCCCCGCGAGGCCCGGGGCGCCGAGGCCCCGGCCGCTCGCCTCCTTCGCGGGGCGAGAACTAACCGGCTTTCCCGCTTCGCTGTCCCAGCGCCTCGGAGCCCCGCGCGCAGGACCCCGCCGGCCCCGCCGCGCGGCCCTGGGCCGCGCCCGCCATGTCCTACCCGCAGTTTGGGTACCCCTACTCCTCGGCGCCCCAGGTAAGGGGACCCCGAGGGCCTCGGGGCGGGGCCCCGTCCGCAGGCAGAGCCCCTGCGCCCTGCGCGCCCGGGGGGCCTGGGGCTCGCGGCTCCCCGACGGCGCGCGCCGGCCCGGGAAGCACGTGCGCCAGGACGCGCGGTCGAGGCCCCGGGGTTGGCGGGACGCGGGGGTCCCGGGCTCCGGGGGGGGCCCAGGACGCGGGAGGTGCGGGCCCCGCGCCCCGCCACCCCCGCCCCTGCCCTGCGCGCGCTCTCTCCCCAGTTCCTGATGGCCACCAACTCCCTGAGCGCCTGCTGCGAGCCGGGCGGCCGCCCGCTGGCGGAGCCGGGGCCCGCCGCGCCCGCCCAGACGCCCGTGTACTGCCCGGTCTACGAGAGCCGGCTGCTGGCCTCGGCGCGCCACGAGCTCAGCTCGGCCGCCGCGCTCGGCGTCTACGGCGGCGCCTACGGCGGCGCGCAGGGCTACGGCAACTACGTGACCTACGGCTCCGAGGCGTCGGCCTTCTACTCGCTGGTGAGGGGCCCGGACCCCCGGCCCGCCGCCCGCGCCCGCCCCATCGGACCCCGCGCCCCTCTTCCTCTCCGCCGCCGCCGCGCCCCGCCCGCCCCACTCGCCCCTGTCCGTTCCCTCCCCACCCCTGGGCGTCTGTCCAGCCTTTCCGCCCTCCTCCGGCCTCACCCTCTCCCTCCACTGCGCCCCTCCACTCCAATCCTGCCCCTCCCGGTAACTCCTTGGGAGGAGGGGTACTGAAGCCCGAAGGCGCCTTCGGGGCTGGGTCAGGGGGCGCAGGGGAGGGGGTCCTAGCTGCGTCCCCAGAGCTGAATCCCGGACCCCTGGGCTCCTACAGAACAGCTTCGAGTCCAAGGACGGAACGGGATCCGGGCACGCGGGACTCGCGCCGGCGGCCGCGGCCTACTACCCCTACGAGCCCGCTCTGAGCCAGTACACCTATGACAGGTGACGGCTGCCCACCGCCCGGCACCCCCAGGACCCCTCTGTCCCCCAGGCCCCGCTGCGGGCCCGGCACCCCCAGGCTCCACCATCCCACCCCCACAGCCAGGCCCCGGGGAGGGGCGGAGGGGCGGGTGTGGCGCTGATGGGGTCGGGCCAGGCCTGCCCCTCAGCCAGCCTCCTTCAGCCTCCTTCCTGTCCTCGGTGAGTCTGTACCCCAGGGGAACGCCAGACACCCTTCCACCCCACATGCTATGACTTCTTGGCTGCCAGGACTTACTTCTGAAGCCCGCCCCCTGGGGGAGCCGTGTCCTCCAGAGCCTCCACCCCCAGTTCAGGCACCTCTGGTCTAGCATGGCGAGCCCCCAGACAGTGGGAAGAGAGGAGGGCCCTCCAAGCCCAAAGCAGCACAGCACCCCAGAGGCAGGAGACTATCTCCAATTTACAGGCCCTGGGCCTGCCCTGGGGGGGGGCACAGCCCCTCTGACCACAGCCCCCATGCCATGCCGCAGCTGGGCAGCTTCCCAGGTTTGATACGTGTTTATGGTTTGGGGATCAAAGGCACAAGAGAGAAACCCTGGGAAGGAATTCAGAGAAGTAGCTCTGTGGAGTGACAGGGGGCATGACCTCTCAGGCTCACCACCATTTTAACAGCATTCTCTTCGCTCTCAGCCTACAAAAGGCAAAGAGGCAGTGCCCACGCCCACTGAGGCCTGGTCCAACCGGGGTCCTCCAACCATAAACACAGCCCACCACCCGGAGCCCCAGCCCGCCCCCATGTCCCTCCACACCTCCCTCCCCCGCCCCCCTTCCCAGGAGCACCCGGCTGCCGCCGGTGCCCCACTGCACGGCCTGTCTGCAGGTACGGGACCATGGACAGCGGCACACGGCGCAAGAACGCCACGCGGGAGACCACGGCCACGCTGAAGGCCTGGCTGAATGAGCACCGCAAGAACCCCTACCCCACCAAGGGCGAGAAGATCATGCTGGCCATCATCACCAAGATGACCCTCACGCAGGTCTCCACCTGGTTCGCCAACGCGCGCCGGCGCCTCAAGAAGGAGAACAAGATGACGTGGCCGCCCCGGAACAAGTGTGCGGACGAGAAGCGGCCGTACGGGGAGGGGGAGGAGGAGGAGGAGGCCGGCGAGGAGGAGGCTCGGGAGGAGGCCCTCAAGAGCACCAAGAGTGAAGGTGGGTGGGAGATCTGGGGGGAGTGGGGATGGGGGAGCAGGGGAACCGCGTGGGTTGCACACCGATGGATGCAGGCAGCCAGGTGGCAAGCACACAGTCTCTAGCTTGGGCAGTCTGAGCATGACTGTCTGTGCTGCTTGGGAACGCTTGAAGCTATTAAAGTCCAGTTTGAAAACATCACACGCACATCTGAGGTCTCTCCTATGAAATGTAGACTATAGATTCGATTCCGGAAGGGAGGAGTCCAGAGGAGACAGGGGAGCACAGGGAACAGCCCTGGTGGTTCCCTAGGTCAGGATGGGAACACATCCTAGTTCCTTGGGCTTAGAGGAAGGCAGCCTGGTGGCCCATCCCATGTTCGTCAGCCAGCCACGTGCTATCTCCCAGCAGAACCCGTGGGGAAAGAAGACAAGGAGCTAGAGCTCAGTGACCTGGATGACTTCGACCCTCTGGAGGCAGAGACGCCAGAGTGTGAGCTGAAGGCAGCTTTCCAGCCCCTGGAGATGGATCGCGTCCCGGCCACACCTCCTGGAGGCCCTGGCGGGCGGGGCAAGGAGTCCCCGGGGGCTCTCCACCTGCCCCTGGCCTCCGGCAGCCACTCGGCCACGAATGAGGACCTGGAGAGAGCAGGAAGCTGCCTCCGGTGCGCGGTGGTGGGGCCAGAGCCCCAGCCAGGCGGTGCCGAGGGAGGCCCGCAAGCCTGCGAGGCCAAGCTGAGCTTCGCGCCCGCCGGCCTGGAGGCCAAGCCTCGCATCTGGTCCTTGGCCCACACGGCCACCGCCGCGGCAGCCACGGCCCTGAGCCAGACTGAGTTTCCATCCTGCATGCTCAA